CATCTCATCATGCACATCCTTAAACCCTGCAAACATGCCAGCCTGTGAGTATTGTCGTTCAACATTAGTGAGGTTTATATGACTTGTGTTATGTGAGAAAACACATATAGAAAGCCAGTCGAGGATTAAGTTCTGATTTTTATAAATAAACATCACGAATTGCCTAAGAAACCATGAGGGAGAAAGGAATGCAAATAGCATAGACAAAATTGCATTTAAAACCTCAGTCTTAAAATCATTTTCTCTTTCAAAATCAACATTTTCACATGCAAAATGGACTGTTCTAACACCTGAGGGCACAAGATACCTTGTGCTGAGACTGACCACAGGTACTGAAGCTTTTCATTATCTCCTCAGCCACAAGTAATGTTCCAAGTTTTGTTCTTAACTAGAACAGTGAGGGAAAAAAAAAAAATCAAAAATATCCAAAATCCAGGCCCACAGGTTGACCTGTTAACAAGAGATCACCCTTTGCATTACCGCGCTGCAAATAAACAATTTCTCCTCATGTAAGTTTCTGCTGAGCACATGTTAAGAACATAACACCAACTGAAAAGCTGTCCTATATTTTGACATAATTGCTAACAAAAGGCCACAAATTCAAAGTGCTGAAATAGGCAGCCATAGATGATGGTAGGAGAGTGGGACAGTAGTACAGAGCCTACGTAAGGACCCACGAAATGTGGTAGGACTGCAACTCATGCAGAACAAGTAGGAGGGAACCACAAAACAACATACAAAATGGGTAAACCAGAAATCAGACCTCAATGGCTGAGAAATCTATGATGCAGTAGCAGCCTTCCATTCATAGCAATTTTTAGCAGGTTGTCTAAAGAAAAATTTGGGGGATCAAAACCAGAAAGACTCTTTTCTAGAAAGCAGTGGTAAGGCTGATCTTGATCAACAGGCCAGTAGGTCAATTATCTCAAAACACTGAAGGGCTGCCAGACCTACAAAATCCCTGTTCTGTCTTTCCTGTTTTCCTACCTTTTTCCTCCCATCTACCTTCTCTAAGTTTTAAACTTGAACCCCGAGACCCACTACAGCATCAAACCAAGGGGATGATACAGGTCATGGAACTTTGCATGAGGCAAACCAGGGGATGGAGGAGCATACCCACTGCTCCAGTCTCTGGCTGCTTTTGCTGTGTTTTCCAACCCGGAGTGTTCCCTGTTGACAACAGCATCTCCAGAAACGTCTTCCTTCATCTTCTCTACTTTACCTGTCTTCCTGTGTATATCTGCTTTCTCCAAAATGCACCTCTTTCCCCCTTGCCTATATATCCAGCTGACAGAAGAAAAGGAGCAAAGACCATAAGGAGGCATATAAGGTGAAAACACATGACTCATGCGGCCTGGCTCAAATCACGCTCAAATTCCCTCCAAGGGCCATGACCTGTGGACCACAGAAAGCCAACCAAGCAAAGCAGGCCTGGTCACCCGCATAGTTCAACAGGAACAGTGACACTGGGGTTGAAGAGGAGACCTTCAGCAGATGAGGGCAGCAAGGAAGCATTACAGTCCTGTAACACCTAACAGGCAGCAGTGTCCTGAGACCACCCCCACAGGGGAGCAGCTTCACCCCAAACAAGGGCACAAGGTGCTCTTTGACAGCAGAAGATGGCAGAACATGGCCCCACGGCAGCTCACTCTTCAACCAGTGCAGCAAGGAGTCAAACCGCGTGCCTAACCTCAGAAACCTTTCCAGCCTCTCCTTCCCCTGCAAAGAATCATCTTCAGCAAATTATCCCAGTTAAATAAACAGCAGCGACAATCTGAGCATTTCCTTACTCAGTTTTGAAAGGACGCCATCCTCACATTAACTAATTAACATAGGACTGTATCTCTTCACTGCAGGTAACCCTGCCATCAAAATCTCATCCTCTCTTTAGCTACAGGGCGTTAGAGAAGGCCTTGAAATTTTATTTTGACCAAGTGCAGGTAACACATCGGGAGGGTAAGCCCCCCCAAAAAAAAAAAAAAATCCATCTTTGGATTTGCTGGTGGCCCCAAGGGTTGACCGAGAAGCCTCGTGAAGCCAGGCCAGCACAGCCTGTTGTTCTCCCTCAAGGGCCACAGCCAAATCCTCAGCTGACACAAGTCCGGCTCTAGAAACATCGCAAGAAAGTTGTTCTGCGTGTCTGTTGATTAAAAAAACTCCTGCGCCAGTTCTTTTTTTTTTTTATTGTATTTTGTAAACTTACCCAGTTGGCTCAGGCTTACTGTTTACTATCAAAATAGGCATATCCAACACACAAAACATCAGGCAGAGAAAACCCCGTGCGAAGGCTCCGTTCCCTCTTCTCTGCAACAGAAGTGTTAAATATTTAAGAAATCACTGCTATTCCTTAGTCATCAAAAACATTATAATCTGGTATTATTGTACAGAGGACATCTGAGGTCGCTCTTTGAGTAACAGAGCTGTCTCCTAACTCTGCCAGCAATGAAAAAAAAATTTTCCTAACAGGAAAAGGTTTGCGGCCCAGAGCTTGTTACATAAATTCCTGTTTTTCACGCAGCCAGCAGGACATTAAAGAAGCTATGATTTACTAACTTGGAAAAAAGTGTTGAAGAGGTAAATCTTGTGAAAATATGCACTGCTGTTAATTATGTTGTGTCTACAAATCTTTGCCAGACGCAAACATGACCTGATAAAAAAGTATAGTTTCAGCAGTGGATCTTGGCAAGCCAGAGGAGCGGCGCGGCTGTCGGCGGCCGGGGTGCTCGGCGGCCCCGCCGGCCCTGGCACGCTGCAAGATGCCTCCAGCCGCGGCTTTCGGTGGGACTTGGAAGCAAAGCCTCCCCAAAACCTGGCCTGAACAACGCGAAAAGCAACCGGCTGAGTTTTGAGGCGGGTTTCCGTGCGGCGGCAATGCATGCCAGATTACTCCGAGAGCATCCGCGCTGGAATTTTATCAAAACGTCGTCAGGACGGCAGCAGGGCTGCTGCCACCTGGGGGGTGTTTCCCGGGATTGAGTTTCCACCTTTGAGAGTCTCTCCACTCCTGTTTGGTCTGTGAACCGTCTTCACGCCGTGCTTCAGCGTACGGACTGGGAACTGCGGATATGCTCATCGCTACTCGCTGATTTAAGAGCTAAAATATACAAAACTAGTATTTGCTAAGTGGAATATGATGAGCACGTACAAGCTAATAAAACTCGTGAAGCCAAGAAAACGATTCCTTTGAACCTACATGTTTATATCATTCAGTTTCATTTCCAACTTCTCCTACAGCAGAACCGCACAGCACTGCTCGCTGCTCTCCTAAGCAACAAATAAACCCAAACTGCTTTATGTTTTGAAACAATGAAAGAAATAAATGTCTCAGCCATTTAATCCCTGGGTGCAAGTAGCTCTGCTGATACCTAATACCGTGTTTAAACCCAAGATATTCATACTAAACATGCAACCTAATTTTAAGCTGACTAATTGCTGAAAAAAATCATACTCCTATTACAATTAAGGTATTAAATTATTTTTTCAGTAAATTGTTTTCGTGTTTTACCAAAGAGAAACACCTGAAAACACAGTTGCTTTGCTAAACCAGACAACACTATAGGCCTGTACTTAACTGAAGAGAGGCCATACAGTCACACTGGCCACCTTTCCTCCACCCCATCCTTGGAGCACGCTAGGGAGAGCAAAGCGGAGCAGAGCTCCTGCTGCAGAGCTCCTGTTTAACCCCACTGCAAACCTCTCCAAGCAGGTTCTAACTGTAGATCTGTGAGTATCTGAAGAGCTGGAAGACTCAAGCCTTGTGAAAGCACCTACAAGTGCCTACGATCTCTCCCACCTTCAGACCTCCACAGGTGCACAGGCAGCATTCGTTCAGCCACAGTGCTGCGATAGGCACCAAAAGGGAGAGCAAGCAATGGATGTAACAGTCAATACGTTTTATAAAACGAACAGATTTGCTACGAAGGTGCATACACTGATGGTATCACAATAAAGCACGTCATGGCATCTCAGAAAAGAGATTCACCAGTAACTAACAACAAAGGCAGAAGGAGTTGGCCTCTGGAGGAAGATGCAGCCATAACGAAGTGGAAGGCCATAAGAGGACACTGAACCAAGACTGCTTCCATAATACACAAGTCAAGCATTTCTATTAAAATTAACAGTCTAATGATTGCCCACCAATTTTTCATTCCGAAGACATCTCAGCAGTCCACTGCTTCCTACATTTCATCCAAGGGGACAGTCTACACATGTTGTCAGTCAGCTTGCACTACCTTCAGCTGAAACAGCTGCGAACACAGATTGGGGCACAGTATCTGACCGTAGTTCTCATCTCTCTCCAAACAATATCTGAAATGGATTCGGAAGCTGGAGAGAAACTTTCAGGGAACATGACACTCAAGACTGCTTCTGCCGTGACCCTCTAAGATAATCACAATTAAAAAAAAAAAAAAAAAAAGAAGAAAAAAAAAAGAAAAAAGAGAAGGAGATAGATTGCTTAATTATTGATTTTAACCGATAGTTTGAGAATATTACAATAGGAACACGCCTGGCAAGAAAGTCAGGGTTGAGGACTGGTAGGACTGAAGTTC